AAGTATTTTCGAAGGGGGATAAAATACAAAATTTTCAAATGGCCAGCTCATCTAAAATTTGCATCTCTTGTTATCAAAAAAAAAAAAAAAAAAAAATTTGCATCTCTATTTATTTCGTGTAGAAGTTCATACATATATAATTCACCACAAAAAATATCGTCTTGAACAAAAGTTAGTTTTAATATAACACCATGATATTCTTTGACTCATATTAAAAATTAATAATAACATTTAAAATTATTATTGTAAGAATCGTTGGTAGAGAATATGTGTAAACAGATGCTGGGATTCATAGTTTAACTTTAAAATTGAGAGAACTTATTTTCATCTTAAACTTTTATGTAAAAAAGAAAGAAAGAACGCTATATTTAAAAAAAAAAAAAATGAGAATCGTGAACAGGACAGTTTTGTGAACGGATCTCGTCAGTCGTCATGACGCAGCAGTATATATCGATGAATGTTATTAAACCGCCAGGTTATTCACCCGGTTACGGGGTTTTTGAGTCATTAGTTTAACTGTATAATTCGATAAATATATGTAAATTTATAATTTATATTAAAAAATTGTAGAAGATTATAATTACTATTTCTTTTTTTTACTACTAAATTTTAATCGTTGATTTCTGTCAATCTAACAGTTGTAATTTATTGGGTTATACTTAATTATTAATTTCTAATAAATTATAACTGTTAGATTGACGAAAATCAACAGTTAAGATTTGATAATAAGAGGTAGTAAGAAAAATAGGTAGTAAGTGTAACCTTATAAATATACTCAAATATCTATAAAATAATTATACAAATTCCAAATATTTTAATATAAAAAATAATAAATTACACATCATTATTCAATAAAAAAACAATCAAATATATAATACTTGTGATAATGGTGCTTGAGATTTACTAGACAATATCTTTAACTATAAATCAAATCAAAATTCATCGTATATTGCATAACCAAGATAATATTAGTTAGGGTTGACAAAAACAAGCCAACACGTCGGGTTGGCTTGTAACCCGCCAAAAATGAGTCGAGTTGGGTTGGTAAAAAATGAGCTGCCAATCCGAGCCAACCCGACCTGAGTCAGCTCGGGAAAAAACAAGTCAACCCACGGGTCAAACGGGCCAGCTCATGGGTTGAGGGTTTTTTTTTAAAAAAAATACAAAATATAATATACAAAACTGGACAAAATTCACACATGTTGTCATCATCTTTCTTCCTTATCTAAACCTAAGTCCCTAATCTTCTCACATCACCGCCATTTTTATATTTTTAGGCTGTGCTGGTTTCATTTGATTCAAATATATTACCCACTTGGTAGCAAGTGATTTTGATTGTTTCTTAATGTTGGTGTAAATTTGTTGTCAAGAAAATTCGAAACTAGAATATTTTTATTTTATTTCTCATTTTGTAACCCTTTGTTTAAGCTGATGGAAGTCACATAGCTGGTGTATTAATACTACATGTTCATTTAAATAGGTTGAAAATGAGTCAACCCGCGAGCAATTTTCGAACCAACCCACGAGCCATATTTTTAAGCCAACCCTAACCCGACTCGGGTCGGGTTGGGTTGAGTTTTCTGGCTTGTTTTTTTTTTCGAGTCAACCCTAACCTGACTTGTTTTTTTCGGGTTGCATGCGGGTTGGGCCGGGTTGGCCCATTTTGCCAACCCTAATATTAGTGTTGTAGGTACATAACTTATGTATGTCAATAAGCAACAGATCACTCAAATATTTCAAAAGAAAACAAATCATTTGGGTGTGAGAGTGAAAAAAATATCAATTGATGAGAACAAACTAGTTTTTTTTTTTATGAATTGTGTCGGGTCACCGATTTTTACAAAAAAAATCAGTCGAATTGCACCGATTCCATTACATGACATGTCTAATATAAAAACTGAATCGATTATATGACTAGTTCACCAATTTCTAGATCAACCTGGTTTTTATAACCTATTTCGATCACTTATCTGGTTATCTGAGAATAAGATATTTTTCTTATTCTAATTTTTGATAAATAAATACTTTACCAATCCGTAACTTTTATATATATATATATATATATAATTATATATATATATATATATTTTTTTTTGTAATTACGGCATATAAGTTATTTGTATTTAATGATGATAATATATACGTAGCTAGATGCCATTAAGAGCTTTTTCATATAAGCTCAGTATAGTATTGTATAAATACAACTTCTAACCATTCAATCAATTTCAATTTTCTGTCTTTAATCATACTTCTCAAGAAATATTAACAGTCTTAGAGTGATGAGAAATCTAAATTTGTTACTGACCAATCTTGATTGTACTTGTTGATAGGTATGCGAACCGAAAATTCATAAAACTTGCAGTTGAGCATGCTAAACTGGGGGTGGGATAAAGGGGTGCCATTTTTATGTAGTCAGTTGGGATTTTACTGGGTGGTTCTTCTATTCGGTGGAACCACCGTGCTAATTCATTGCAATCTTTATGAAGGAATAGTCCATCTCCAAGTAGATAAAGTTCACTCTCACCATTTTGAGATGGTTAGGATAGGCCTCAAAATCAAATGAAATCAGAAAATTAATAGCCAGAATTAATGCTGGTTGAAACCGTGCTCTTCAATATGACAATGAGTCCTGTGTGATTAAATAATTGTACCATTGTTCTTTAATTATTTTGAACATAATAAGAGATGTTGTTGGTGCAGGGGAAAACCCGGAAATGGAGACAGCCAGACAGGTCTTATCAAAGTTGTGAATTAAAGTTTGTTGTTTACGTGCTGATGTTATTTAGGACAGTTGTTACTACTTTGCTGATGTTATTGGGGACTTGAGGTAGCCTTGTCGTGAGTGATTAAGTTGTAGGACTTTAGGTCCTTTTTCTTTCTTTGGGCCTCTGGCTACGTTGGATTGCCAAAAAAAAATCAAATTCGGGTTGAGGGCACTCTGAGAATTATGTTGTCCAGTTGGTCTGGGAAAAAAAAAATGCTTGAACTTGGATGAGAATTTTTTGAATTCAATTGCGTAACTAATCATTCTTTTGGTAGTTTAACCCTTCATTTAAAAGCAATTAGTTACTATGTGAAGAAATTTAAGAATTGAAAGTTGTATATTATTGATCTCAAGTAAAGACTAAAAGCCAATTTATGGAGAATACAAAGATAAGATAGAGAGAGATATATGAACCTAAACTACCAAAAGCTATCTGCACTATATGTAAATTCCGATATTTCAATGCATCTTATCACTCTGCTCATTTGGGTACATGATTCCCCCATCTCCTTTTTTTTTCCCTAAGAAAGAGATCCACTGTTGTGAAATTGACGTCATACTTGTGCTTACCTTGATGCTGTAAAATAAACAGCAAGGCTTTTATTTAGGTCTCATTTTATATTTTTTGTGCTTGTTGAACTGGGCGAATATTGAGCAGTTATAAAACTGCTCTTTTGTAATTGAAAAATAATTGGTTCAAGTTTGATAAATAAAATCTTTGCCCACCTAATTTGTCTGTGATTTTATGGACCCCAATTAATTTAGAATAAAATTATTGTTGACGTTAATAGAGGTGTTCATCAACTGAACGAAACCGATTCAAACAGCGGTGACCGAATCGAAAAATTGATAACCGAATAAATCGAAAACCGAAAAACTGAAAACCGAAAAAAAAAATCGCAAATTTTAATTGGATTGGATCGATTTTCGGATTGGTTGATGAAAACCGATACAATTCAAACCGATCCAATATATTAATTCTAATTTCCCCAATCATATCTCAAAAATTTCTAAACCCAAGACTCATTAACCCATTAACTAAACCCAAGAAAAAAATCTAGTCACATCTCATCAACAAAATTTCATAGCTTCGTATCTTATTACAAAAAAAAAAACTATATTATCATTTATTGATGTTTTTGTATTTCAAAAAAAAAAAATTACAAAACCAATTATTTGCACAATAATCATGAAACAAATTTAGGATTTTCAAAAAACCGAAAACTGATCCAATCCAAACCGAAAAAAATGGGATTTGATTGGATTTGAAAAAAAATCCAAACCGAATGGATGATTACATGATCAAACTGAAGGAATTGAATCAGATGATCTTTGTTTTCATAACTGATCCAATCCAGACCGCGAATATCCCTAGATGTTAATGTTGTGTTCTTCTCAACATTGTCAAACAAGAATATTTGTTTTGTTTTTGGAACTAATGGAAATTGAGTGAAAAAGGATACTGCTTATAGCAAACAACATATATATAGTGGTTACATTCTTTTTCTGAAGCAAACGTGAAGGATGAGTCACTCCTGCAGAGAAATAACATCTGTAATTGACTCAACCTCAGCACCATTACACAATTCACACCGAACCCAAACCAAGTTACTTTATATAACTATTGGCATTACCCCGTGTTGGTATCTTCTTGGTCATTTATCATATTATATATTTGACTTGGCATATTCTACTCTTCACGTCATGAGACAGGTCTACTTTCTCAAAAATATTCAGCAATAATTGAGTTACAAAATTATAATATCAATTTAATTTCTGATTCCATTCCAATTAATATATAATATAATATATCAACTTAAATTAATACTCATCATTGAGATCTGCATTGACGTATTGATAGTGATCCACAAGTAAACAACCCTACATGAATCTAAGTATAGTTCTCATTTCCCAATTCAGTTGTCCACACCACACAAACCAGAATATTCTATGTCTGCATATTATAAGATTTATGATTAAAAGAAGAGATAAGATTCATTTCATTTACATATTTTTTTTGCAAATTACACTAAGTACGACCGGTCATACATTGTATGATTAAAGTATGACCGGTCGTACTTAGTGTAGTTTGTAAGAGTTTGTAAACAAAAAAGTTTGTAAATAGAACCTGCTTCTTAAAAAGAAAGCCTTATTTATGTGCTTTTAATGTTGTACATAAATTGTCTTCCATGGAATCTTAAGCATGATTTTTCTGGAGAAGCCACTTGAGATATAATTAGACATGAGGAGGAGTTGTATTTGGGGGTGTTGGGGCAGATGCTATACGCCTTCCTCTTTCAGAACGGCTGTTCTCAGCAAACTTGAGACTTTTCTGGTGCAAGCCCTTGTGCTTCTCCTCTTCATCCCATTCAGAGGTGTAATAGAATTCTTCAGTGGATTTGTTGACATCTTTTGAAGGGGGTAGAAACATGCCACCCCACTGTGGGAAGTGAACAAGAGTCACAGGAAGAGTGCAACACACGATCATCACACCCATCAAGGAAAGACCTGTGGATGTGGAGAATTTGGATGTTGAAAAGAAAATCAATTGGGTAAGGCCAGATCCAAAGTTGCCACCTGCACCAGTAAGACCTGATATAATCCCCAAAGACCTTCTTGAGATGAAAGGAATAATGCCAAATGTTGCTCCACATGCAGCTTGAGCTCCAACAGAGAAGAGGATCATAGCCAAAACAGCAACAGGAAGAGAATTTGCACGACCAAGCCATATACAGAAAACCCCTCCTAAGGTTTGGAGGATCCAGAGGGTCCAGAGTCTCCCTCTCATGCCAAACAACCTTGCTGCAAGATCAGAAGCATATCCACCTAAGGGTCGAGCAATGATGTTTGCCATTCCAAATGAAGCAGCAATGACTCCAGCAGTGTGCAGCTTGAGATTAAACCTGTTTTGTAATAATTAGTTATATAAGGTTGCATAACAATTAGTAAGAAAATACCAATTTCTAGTAATTGTTGCATTGCTTGTGAGATATCTGTATATAGATTTGAGGCCTTTGAGCTGAACTAACCTGTCAAAAAAATACTCAGCTATGACATTGTCAGTGGTTAATTCAACTCCCATTGAGTACCCATAGAGAAGGGCAAAAATCCATGTCCTGTAATTTGTTATGGCATACCATAGCACCTGAACACAAAAAATAAAATTCGTTAATTAGTTCAAGGGTTTTTTTCCTCCCCCGAATTTGCTTGATTGAAAAGTAAAATAATAATATAATAATTATGTTCTCAAATAATATATAAGATCATAATCATTTTATTTTACACTATTGTAAGTTACACTTTCAATTCGTTCATATCACTTATATCTAACTATTCTAATTTTTTAATTATGTGAATCATTAGATATAAGTGAATCAATGATTTAAAATTGAGTATAAGACTTCTTATTGTTACACCGGTATAAAAATATCCTGCTCCAAAAACCAGACTAACCTTGGAAAACTTGTCTTTAGCTACATCACCCTTCTTTTGTAAGGCACTGAGGTTTCCATCTGGCAAGTCCTGGCCTAGGGTTAAGACCAGGATCCCCATGATCACATGCAAACAACCTGGAATGAAAAAGGCAATCCTCCAAGCAGTGAAGGGAGTAGCCCCAGCTCTTTGGACCAGTTCATACACCAATGGCATTATGAGCTGAGTGGCTCCACCACCCATGTTACCCCACCCTGCTGCAGTTCCATTTACAAGCCCTATAATCTTACTGTTAAACATGGTGCTCATCCAATATTGGCATGAAACAAAAGTGGCCAAGGAGAAACCAATCATGAACCGAACTGCTAGATACCCTGCAGCATCTTTCACAAATGACATGCAGAACACCGTTGGGGCTGTGAGCATAATAAGGAATGCACAACCATAACGTGGGCCTAATAGGTCACAAACTGCACCCATTGCAAGCCTAGAGAAAATACTTCCAGAAACAGAAGCAACCCCAGCATTTCCAATATCACTTTTTGTGAGGTTAAGGTTGTCACGAATGATGGGGACAAGAGGAGCTGCTGCGAAGGTCGAGACAAAGCAAGTGAAAAAAGATATCCAAGATAGGTGGAAGGTTCTCATGTGGGGTTTGGCTATGGAGAAAAGTTTAAAAACCTTGGCCTTGTGTTCAGAATCAACTGGCAGAGCAAATTTGGCTGTGGTATCAGTTGGAACCATTGGAGAACCAACTGAGGATATGAAGGTTTGTTCCTTGCCTGTTACTCCATGCATGGAGCTTCCTGGAGATCCTTCAATCTCAGCCATTTGGTCTTAATTGGCTAAGGTGATTATGGAAAACTACAAAGATTGCAGAGAACTAAGAAAGAGTTTAAAGTGTTGGTGTTGTGAAGGGTAAGCAAGGAGTGAGGTGTATTTATAATGGGGAAGCCGTTGACTATGTAAAAGTCTGTTACAAAACCAATGGGATTCCCAATGGTTGAGAAGCTTTAAACAAACTATATTCACATAATCCATTTCGCCGCATATACCCATTGAACAGTCAAGAGTCTCATGGTATATCCCAAAGGCAAAAGAATCATATGACACGTAATAATCGACTCTAAGAGTGAGTTTGGTACAAGAAAAAATTTTGAGTGTCCGGAAATCATGATTTTCAGTAATATAGAAAGAAATCCAATTTATCAGGAATGATATAAAAAAGTTGTTTGGTAGACGTAAACATTACCGGGAATATTTAATAATTTTACTGAGTATATGTTTGGTTGTTAGTAAAATATTACCGGTAATATATGATGATTTTACAAAACTAACGTTAACTTTTCAAAACATATTCTTCAACGGGTATTGATGTATGTTGAGAGTATTATTGTCTTAAAAATATGTTGATCTGCTTTCCCTTCCCTCAGTAGTCATGAAAACCACCTAATTTTTGGTAATCCCAACAGTAACTTTTCTTTGTAAAATGCTTTACCGGTAAATCTTGGATATCCGGGAATTGATTTTTAATACTTCTACCAAACATGGTAATTGACGATTACCAAAGAAGGTTTACCAGTAATCCTTGTGATACTCTTGTACCAAACACACCCTAATTATCAAAGTTTGATGTTTCTCATATTTAGAAAATAAAATTATCTCTTATACACATATAAAAATGTGTGGGGTCCATGTGCACTCATGTGAAAAAAAAAAGGAAAAAAAAAAATATAGCCCACACATTTATATGAACTTAAGACATAATTTTATCTCCTATAATAGACATTAAATTCAAATATCAATTACCTTATTAAGTATTTCTTTGTCTGCTATGCTACATGTGTCTGCTTGTTTCCTTTGGAGTTTATTAACCTTGATTCTATGTTATAATTTGTTCTGACAAGTCCAGATCCATAGGTTCAATTTATTGGGCTTATTGTCAAAACTCACATTTAGAACCTTATAAATGGCATCACATAGGATCCCTTTTTTTCCTTTGTACTATTGTCCATATACACATACATCGGGTTCAACATACCTAGTCTGAAAAGGTTAAGTTGGCTAGGTGATAACTCTTCAGATCTTTTCTCACACGCTTCGCAAAAGCACTCTCTTTCTAGATACCCCCCACACATTAAAGGGACATCTTCTTCTCTATGCAACTCAAGAGCTCTTACTCTTCATATTTGTGGAGTACTCTAACCTTTCTCACACACACTCCCCCTTTAATATGTAGCACCATAGGAAGCCTCTATAGTGTTTTGGTCTATATCATTATCATTATGAGCACCCCTAAATTGACATATTTTACCCTCCATGGAGTACATTTATGAACCACCAATTGTTCATAATTAAACAACATTGTTGTTTGCATGCTATATATATGGTTCATTTTTTCTGCGATCAATGTAAATAAGTTATCTCTATATTGAGCCCAAAACAACGTCGTTTTGAGACAAAAATCAAGGCATTTTTATAATTATAATTTATTTCAGAGTTATAATTATCTTTTTCATTATAATATTTTAATTTTTAAACCCAAAACGACATCATTTTGGGAGTGAATGTAAATATAACATATCTATATTCACTGTAAAAACATTAAAGCCATATATATATATATATATATATATATATACACACACATATATATATATGAGAAAAATATATTTCAAGCTGCTTGAGATATATTTATCTCCGGTCACCCAAAAACTACGTCGTTTTATTTATTTATTTCCTTATATTAATTTATTCACATTTGAATGATTATGATTCTCTTTTTCTCTCTCTTCCTTTATTAACATTGATTTATCTTTGTACGGTTATGATTTAGTGGCCGAAAATAAAGTTATATCAAACAGCTTAAGAAATAATAAGTCTACACTCACATGGTAACGATATTTTTTTGTTACTCTTGAAAGAAAACTGAAAATTACAAATCACATTCGCCCTATTTAATATTAAATACTATGACAGTGAGGTTATAAAAAAAATGATAGTGAAATTCGAATGATACTTCATTTAATGTCACAACTAGTTACAAACTGCATATATGTCATCAGAATGCAAATTTAAAATCAAATAAATTGAAGTCTCAAGAAAGCTGAAAAGTTTAGATAATTTACCAGAGTTAAGTCATTATAAACAGGGAGAAAGAGAAACCAATTAAGTTGGCATCATTTGCATTCAAATACATAATTTTAATTTTTTTTTTATTTCGGTAGTAAAAGATGGATTTGTGTAAGGGACGGTGGATATTATTTGGCATGATAGTGGGAAATCTTTTTGTTTCATATTTACTATTAGTCATATTTGTTCTCTGTGACAGCATTAGACCCCAATTATTTATTTATTAGTTTGAATTAAAAGGTTTTTCACTTATGTAACCCAGATTTCTGACAAGTAGTTACTAGTTACCATTCCTCAGCCAACCTTAAGGCTTTTAGAGTTGATTATATAATTGGGCCCGAATAATAATCAAATTTTAGACTTATATATAGTGGCTTTCATATATCATATCACATTATAATATGTAAATTTACTTGCTCTTTAGGATTACTTTAATCGCAATCCATTTTAATTATTTTCATCATGTTGATGGCTGGCTCCAATTTATGATTGAAATAAAAGGTCTTAACTAATACAAATTAATAATAAGCTAAGTATTTACCAAAAAAAAGAATAAGCGAAGTAATTATAAACAAGCCGTGTACTGTCTCTCTCTAAGCTCAGTATAAGTGAAACTTGCAAAAATTGATGCCGACAGAAACTATATCATACAGATCCAGCCTACCCTTTCACGACCTCTTAGGGATGTTTGGCTGGATATTGTTCATTATTGGGCACACGAAGAAGCGTAGACCTTTTTTTGTACTATTTTAAACGGGTATTTGGTCTTTATAATAATAATTATTAATAATAATAAGGAAAAGTTCAAATACTATGTGGTTTGTCTTTTAAATCACTTACTTTCTTATGCTTTATTTTTTTATCATTTACCCCCTTATGTTTTTTTTATCCAAGTCTCTCATTAATAATATTAGAATTTCTAATTAATATGACTATTCTACTACTCTTACAATTAAAAATACATTTCAGCTACCTTTGAATTGCTTGCATGTTCACATATTTGTTGAATATAAGAGCTGTTCGATTTTATAAGAACTTGTATTGATCAAGTTTATGTTAAAAATATATATTTTTCACATTTGTGGTACAAATAATTCCTTTCTCCTTTTAAGTCTTGAATTACATATAGAATAAATGCAAGAATAGTGAGAATAAGCGTGTATATATAGTTAACTTGCATGTATGTATACACATCAACATGCACTTTTTTAGTCATTAACCAACAAGTTTTCCGAAGTTTCAAAAATTCAACGTTCGTGTATTCCCATTTTATGACAAGTGTTTAGAGACCTATATTATAAAAGGCCCAAAAAGAACTAATGGTTAAAAGGGAATTTAAGGAAAGATTCTTTAATTTTACTAATCCTAATACGATAACAATGGATCAAGAACTTGACCTCCAATATTCTTAAGAGGCCCATAATTCCATTCCTACCAAATAACTCATCTATAAATAAAGGGTTAAGTCAATAAGATACACACTCTAAACATTCTCTCTTAGCTGTCAGTGTACACACATCACATCCTTTGGTTATGCTGTTAGTATTATAATGCACACTTATCCGCTATTCTCTAGGGTACCTCCCCTATAGGTACCTGAGATATATAGGGCATCTAGATCCAATAGAAATATATCAGTCAACGGCTGGATATCTCTGTCACTAAGACAGAACATTGGCTCTGTCTGCGGGGAATCGACAAACTTCGATTTTCACTCAATTATGGTAAATGTAAGAACCTGCATCGTTAATTAAGGAAATTAATTAATTAAATATGTGAAATTAGGAAATAATTTCATAATTGACCCTAATAATTATTTTGAGGCTTAAATAATTATAGAAAGTGGTTAAGAATGCTGAAAGTCGCTTTTCGGAAGAAAAATGCAGATACCGGTTTTGCTAGTCGGTATAAATGCGTACCGAAAAAGTATCCCGAAAAATTATAATAAGTGCATGATAATTCTTAGAATAATATATAGGACTTGTAAAACGAGTTTCAAGTTAAAATAATGAAAACTGGTGCCAGAAAATGGTACTGGCTATGAAAAGCGCGTACTGGAAAGGTGCTCCGAAAAATATAAGAAAAATATGATAATTTTTGTAAAATTGAGTAGGTTAAGAATCCTGAGTTTACGATTAAAATGCTAAGCGTAGCAATTAACGATAATATTGTGTGTTAATGACTTAAACCGCTATATATACATTAGTTGGCCCTAAACCCTAGGCCATAATACTGATCCTACGTGAGTCTTGGGGCTGGTCAGCTGCTGGTCACTGTTCCATTGGTCTTCTCCTCCATTTCTTTAGCCAAGTTGTCACATTTGCTCCATCTCTTCATCTCTAAACACCATTACCTTGGGTGGGTTGGTCTTGTGAGGTTGTGAGTCCCTTGCTGAGTTGTAGCCCCTGGTTAAGGGTGAGGAGGTGCTGACTTTGAGAGTTGGCTTGTGGGAGCTTGGGGTTGGTATTTTGAGCTTCAAAGTGTCACCTTGGTGAAGAAAAGAGTCTCCTTGTTGTGCATTTTTGTGACCCTTGGTTGCTGCACAGTGGAGTGGTGTAGGGAGCTCATTTTCCCTGCCATTTTCTGTTTTGAGAAGCTTGGTATGCATACTCAACCTCTGATCATGAGTTTTTGGTTAAAAATGGAACCTTGATGCATGTAATGAGCTTAAGATGATAACCCAACGTTGGGTAATGCTT